GAGGGTAGGATTTTGAAGCTCCAACTCACTTACTTTGGGCACGCAGCCAGCAGAGATCAGTCCTTGGAGGAAATGCTCGGTAGGGTGGATGGACAGCGCAAGAAAGGAAGACCCCAGATGAGATGGATTGATACAGTAATTGGGGCGATGGGAGTTGGTGTGTGGAGTTAGACCGGCTCAGGACAGGGTAGGGTTCAGAGCTGCTGTACATACTGTCGCTAACACATCGCAGGCGACTCAATGGCACATAAAAATAGTAACATACTATGATAGGTTTGGAAGCAGCAGTGGCATCCACTTCCTAAATAACATGCCGCCGGAAACTCTATGAACTTTGATAAATGTTGACAGTTGTAGAGAGGCTTCAGGCCTTTTGTTTAATGGGTCGCTATGAATTGTGCTCGACTCTAAGGCAATCAACAACTTACAGATGACATAACTTTGCTTGAAGAAAATTTGCATTTCAAACACTTTTCGACAGAAGACCAAAAAGTACATTCTTCACTTAGGAATTACATCTAAACATCAAGAAAACAAATATCCCTTTCTACTGGACCAGTAAGCAATTATGATAGATGGAGAAAAGACTGAATCTGTCACCGAATTAATTTTACTCAGATCCACTATCAATACCTATGGTAAAAGCAGTGATTTTTTTTTTTAGAAAAGGTAGGCATGCTGCCCTGAGAAGATCTGCTGTCAAGGACCTCTCTATCATGCTAAGGAGCAAGAATGTTAAAGATTAAGGTACACGTTATCCAAGCCATAGTATTTTCATGGCTTGCTATGCATCTCGAAGTGGTACAGTGAATAAGAATGACAGCTCTGAATTGTGGCAGAATTGTAGAGTACTGAACAGCTCATGGACTACAAATGGTGCAAGTAAGTCTTATCTTGGAAGAAGTACAAACAAGGTGCCCCTTACAGTCAAGGATAGTCAACTTGGTCTCACATACTTTGGACATTTTGTTAAGAGGGAAAAAACCCACATGATTCTGGGAAAGGTGGAGGCTCAGAGGAAGCAGTCGCCAAGATGGAATGATGCAGTGATGGCAACAGTGAGCTCGAGCACCCACATGTTGAGGACGGGGCGGGTTAGGACAAGGTTCACGCGTGTTGTTCAGAGCTGCTATGCGTTGTGACTGACTAGATGCCACCTAACAACAAATAATGCAGTTATGAATAACTAATATTAGAAAAAATACACTAACAGATTATTAAAATATAGAAATTTAGTCTATAACTTGCAGTTGAGCTAAGATTTGTCAAGGGTTGAATCTGATTTTTCAAAGTAGTTGCTGCTATGGGGAAAAAAAACCCCAAAACAAACAACCAAGGCTTTGAACAAGTTCATTTGAGGTTGACCTTCTAATCTGAATTTGCCTTTTCACCTCCAATATACTTTATATTCTATCAAAATCTGCATTTTAATAGAATCCATGGAAAAGTGTATTCTCATCAGGGTGTCAAAGGGAACAGTCTAATTCCCTGGGAGAATGTGATACAAAAAGTCATTTTGAGAGATAATACTAAGTACCACTGAGTTAATTATAACTCACAGTGACCCTATGAACATGGACACCCAGCCCTGTACTGTGCCATCCTCTGTCTTTGCCATGCTCGAGCCCACCACTGACCCACAACTTTTCCCAACCTGCTCAGAGTATGTAGTATGCTCAAAAATTTACCATTCTGGCCTCTAAGAACACTCTAGTTGCATTTCCTCCAAGAGGAACTGTTTGTTCTTTTGGCAGTCCAAGAGGCATAGTAAGGTCTTTGTTCCTCCCTCATTATTTTTCCACACTAGTGTTTTTCACAAATATAAAATACATTAGGGGGACCCTCACTATCTCTGAGCCAGCATTTAGCAGTGATGCACAAGGGTCACCAGCATACATCTCAACTACTGCTTATGAAAATTAAATAACTTGGATCACATGAAATGTCTATTTCTAATATTCTGTTACTAGAAGAGTAAGTATTGATAAAACAAGAGTTCTGAAAAATATTATGTGATATGAAGTACACTGCAAATCAAAGACACAATTTATTTTTAATTATATAGTCCAGAGGGAGAGAAACAAGGGTAAATAGAGGCCCACAGACTAAAGGATTGCTGGGGAGAGAGGGATTTAAGTAAAACAAAAATTTTATCATCCAAGATAAGATAAAGGGACCAAGAACTGTGGAGAAACAACTTCATGCAACATGTTTATAAGTTTTAGAAGCAACAATTATATAATCAAATGTGCACTGCAAGCAATGTTTACCATATAAACTTAAAATCTACTCAATAAATTGAATGAAATTATTCAGACAGCATTATGTAGACAAGTATGTTTAAAAATATTTTAATAAGCATATTCAGAATGGCAGGAAGGGAATAGGAAAGGGAATTAATTTGACAGTGCAAAATTACTATGCATAAATTTAGAAACACCTAATTCATAACTTTTAAATGCCTATTTAAGTATTCAAATATTATTTTTTTTAAGCTCAACAGATTTGTGTTGAATCAAGTTGTAGACCCCAAACTCTATTTGAAAAAAACATCATGAAGTAGAATACCATGCCAAATGAAAAGGAGGGTGCTTTGCTGGGGCTGAGATGGACTGAGAGAAACGAAGTAACTATTAACAAAGGTTTCTTTTCTCAACATAATCAACAGTTAAAACAGATACTAAACCCTAAGCAAATTAAATTCATGATATTAGTAAAATTTTAAGTAACACGATAACTTATCAAGTTACAGTGGCTATGAAGAACAAAGCATTGTGTGAAATACCGTATAAATACAAAATACAACTGAATATTTATGAAAAGCTGAGCATTATGCATTATAATAGTGAAATGTCTTTCATTAGGCATTCTTTAAAAAGGTAAGATAAAGTAAAATTTCCAAACATGTATACATGTGCTGTATTTGCACACATGCCTGAGAATGTATTTGAAACATCCTTGTAATTTTAGATTGCAAGAACTTTACAAATCAGCAAATAAAACACATCTTCTAAAACAGGAGAAAGTGGCATCTCTAAAATTGCAATAAAGCTAAAAAAAAAATGCACAACCCCATCATTCTTTTGAAAACATTTCTACAGACAGACCATCTCTGATAGAGAGTGAGGATATTTTGGATATTTTAATCATATCTTATGTAAAATATAGATTGTGACCATCTGTGAAAGATACTACTGACTGCCATTCTGGATAAATTAAAATTTCAGTTAATCCAAAACAAAAATAACTAAAAACCTTAAACTTAACATTTCCACCCAAAATTCTGATTTACTTGGTTAAGTAAATGCACATTATATGAAGTGTTAGAAAGTAAATTTTAACACTGTATGGGGTCGAGGGGAGGAAGGCGGGAATCACATCTGAGAAGGGAATCAATGCAAACATATCTGAGTTGTAATACTTCATGGGGATAAGGCCCAAACCATAATTTCTCAGTGCAAGCCTCTACTCAATTGTATTAGACAGTAGAGCCAATAAAACAGACCAGATTTTTTTAAAGACACCGGCTCTTGAATTGATAGCTGAAAATGAACCTTTGAGAGAAGCATTTGGTGTATGCTTGTGTGATAAAAACAAGAATAATTTTTAATCTTTTATAAAAGTTTAGATATAGGTTGGTCTATCAGCTGTATAAAACTACACTTTTTAACAAGAATTTTGCACTAAAAATAAAATGGCACTCTTGCAAGGCTACACTAATGAATAATCCTATTTGCAATCACACTGACCAAGGGCTGTTGTGTAGCTTCTAATTATTTTAAATCTGCATCTACAAAGACTTCACATTTTTTAATTTTTAAATACAGCACTGATTCTTAAAAACAAGATTTTAACTGAAGAATTTTGAAAACTTTTCTAACTTCAATATTTTCTCTCCACATAAAATCAACATTGTCAGCCAAAAATTTGTACTCCTTGGGTGTGTCAATATCTAAATATTATTTACTTGACCTTCTCCCATTTATTTAATGCAAAAATGGGCAATTTTATAATGTATATAAAAATAACTGAATAGAATTCTGGTCAGCATGATATTTAAACACTTAAGCTGGCATTAAACTTTTTTCTTAAAAAATAACTTTGAAAATTATACCAAATGCAAACCATGAGATTTAAGCATAAAGCTTAATTTCAGAATTCTCAAACTATTTTTCCTTAAGTAGAAATTTTAAAAACAAATTTTCACAATTGCTTATGAATGCTTTTACCACCTGGATTTGAAACATGACTTAGGTACTACACAAACACTTAAAAATTCATTAAAAAATCTTAGCAAAATAAAATGAAAGCTGACACACTTAGAATATCAATTGCTCTCATAAAAGTTGACCAACTGTACAAGTTAAGAAAATTATACAAGCTTCTGTATTAAAGGACAGCTCAGTCAAGACATATGTACTGTAAAAATCTTTCAAAGGCTACAAAGAATCTGGAAAAATACAGAATGTATTTTTTAAGCCCAGATAAGAATATGGAAAGACATCATTGATGTCAACAATTTTACATATACAAACCTGACTTGGTTTATTTTTAAACTTCTATATATATAAAAAAAATCATGCTAGCATAACTTTCAGGATTCATAAGGGTTTCCTTAATGATGACACTCAATTTGTATAGAGAGGAAAAATGTTATAAAAAAATATTTCATGACACTCAGGAAAATTGGTGTAAAGCAGAAATTTAAACATATTTTTTTTCCCTTTTTCATCAAACTAAAGTATCTTGCAGTGAAATTTTGTGGTTAATACATCGAGTGAAAAGGTACATACTTTTAGTTCACGCAAATTTACTAAAATATCTTCTTTAAAGGTTCTCTTGACAGTTTTAGGGTAAAAAAAAATCTGTAAAAGACAGAATTTATGAAACCTTAGTTCCTAAAGTTAGGCTTAATTCAAAGTTTCAAATTTTAAACAAATGCATCAAGTAAATGAACTTTTAAGGTAACCCATCAACCCTGAAAATTTTAGTCATACCAGGAAAGTAAAACAGGTCTAAAATTTAGTCATCTATGTTTTCAAGTTCTTCAAATTTTCCATGGCAGATTGCTTCTTGGAAAAATTCAGAAGAACCTGGACTTTCTTTTCCATTGCTGTTTATCCTTCGCCTTTTAGCAGGTCTCTCATTTTTTTCCTCAAAATCATTTTCATTTCTTGCAGTCATATGGGCAAGTTTTGTATCAGTGGTAAGGTTATCTGTTTCATAACCATTAGTATCCACATCTGTGTGAAGTGGTTTCTTACTCCCACTAGTTGGTCCATTAATATGTAATCCTTCAACTTTTACATCTTCTTTGTTTAGTATTTCACCTGGTCCATTAGATGACACCCCTAAATTGGAAAAGACACAAATGAAACTGACACAAAGTTCTATTTGCAACTACTGTGTAACAGTTTTTCATTGCTGGAAGTGAGGCATCAAATCAGTGTAAACATATAATTTGAATTCTGGCTGTTGTCACATATTACAATTGGGTTTGTGGTTTTGAAGATTAAGTAACAGAACTAAGATTATATTCTGGAGTATAAAAGCATTCAATTTGTTTGTTGTTATGTGATAAAAAGAAACAGTTCAGCAGCCCTAACTTTCTAATTTCCTCCCTCTTATATAAGCTTAAGTTTTCTTATAAAATAAGAACCCCATATATTCATTTCTTATGTAACGGGTACATGAACCTTTGCAGTAAAGATTATAAACTATATTCATCTGAAGTATATTAAAAAATAAAAAATCTGTCACAATGTTAAAATTAATGCTTTACTGTCCAAACACCTGAAAACGCTAATACAACACAAAATTTCTTCTGTAAAGGGTAAGAAAAATAAGGAGACAATTATTTTAATGAAAGGAAGAAAAAAAAATAAACAGATCATTTTAGAGTTGACTATAAAATCAAAAGAATACATATTTAAAGACTCTGGCAGAACAATGGTTAAATACTTGGGAGCTAACTCAGAGGTCTGCAGTCTGAACCCACCCATGGTGAGGTCCTATAAAGGTTACATCCAAGAAAACTCCATGGGGCAGTTATACTCTATCACATGCAGTCACTGAGTAAAAACCAACTTCGACAGGAGACAACACTGTAGAATGAGCAATTAGAGGTAACCCAAATTTAATAAAATACTTAACATGAGAGGAGTTCCAAAATGCATTCCAAAAAATGTGCTCTCATGAATGCACATGAGGTTATGTATAATCTGGCATTCACAAAATGATTTTACGGTAATTAAAAAACTCCTATCGTCAAGCCAGGACATACTCACATCGATCTATTGAGTTTCTGAAGCATGGGAGAAAACTGTCCATCCTTCTCATCTGGAGCTACTGGAAGATCTGACCTGCCAGAGGCATGGCCTTGGAATGAAAGTGCAACTCTCAGGGACCATGCCACTAATGCTTCCTAAGTGTCCATAATAATGGGCTAAAGGAGCTAAGTGAGGTAAGAAATTAGGTCTAGAATTACAATAAAATTTCAAGGCACAAATTAAAGCCCATTACAACATAAATGAAACTAGGTTTGCCAAATTCCTTTTTCCTTAACTTGGAAATCCCCACCCCTTTTTTCCTTGTTATGTGCCACTGAATCAGATCAAATCAGAATGGCACAGAATTCTCCTCCTCCAGAGGAGCGTCTGGTGGATTCGAACCACATGCCTTTGGGATTGCAGCACAACTTCTTGCCATTAGGCCACCAGAGCTCTCTTGAAATTGAGAAATCTTCATAAGCACTTAATGTAAACAGCTCCTAGGCTACTGAGTAGCTTTACAGAAACTCATGAAGACTCTTCCAGACTACCATCATGCTACCAACAAATAGTTTAAAAAAATGAAGTAAGGATAAACAAATAACTTAAGCAATTGTTTTAGTTATAAGAAACTAAAGTAGTACCAACTCTGTCTTCTTCATTTTCTACTTCTGGTTCCAAGGTAAGACTCTTAGCAACTACATATTAGGATGGATGTGTGATGGCACGAGATTGTTATGTGCAATACCTTTTCTGGGCCAGGAAATGGTTCCCGTTTTAGTTGTATTTGCTTTTACAAAAGCAGTGAGGGAAGAGTGTGCTGCTGTATACTGTTGAGTTGGAAATGACCCATTGTTGACCCTCCAGCATGTTTTTAGAGGCAGTAAATGGCATAGCAGGAGATAGCCCATTTTCCTCCTGCAGAGCAGGTGGTAGATTTGAACCGTGTGCCTTTGCTTTGGCGGCGTAACTCCTTACAACTAAGCCGTAAGAGCTTCCAAGAACTAATGAAATTATACACACACTACAGGAGGGCTTGTTTGAGACCAACCTCCTGTTTGAGACCAAATTTCAGATTTTTCATACCATTCTAGTTTGGAGAGGGGATACAGGGGATGAAAGAAAACAAAGCATGTGGGCAAGGCTAATTTACATTCGTCTTGAAGAATGTGGGAGGGGCTTATTATTTTCTGTTACATTCTTTTCACTAGGAAGTTCATTTTTTGAAAGTAGAAATCAAAATAATCTCCTCCTAGGTTTTGATGACCAGCACAATAATCTCTGGTCCTACTATTTTCAATAAGACCATTGTCTGAATCTCACATAAAAACCTCAAGACTCACTCAAAAATCAACTCAAGTGCTGAACCTAAAGTGGGTTTTCAATGGGTGTAAACTGCACAAGACAGAACCACCCATCACTGTTCTGTGGAGCGGCAGCTAGTATATTCATGTCACTTGCCTTTGGAATGGCAGCAAAACATTCTTCCCTAAACACCTTGCCACCAGATCTAACTCTACAACATACCAGGATGGGTTTTATTATAAAGAAAAATCAAAGGAGTATTTATAGGTTGACAGGTTTTTATTTTCTCATACTCCAAGATTATGATGCTATTAAAAATTACTAATTTTCATCTCTATGTTTAAAGCATTTTCTTGATAAAAGTGTTATATCATCACAAGGTACTACATAATATCTTTATATTCCTACTGTAAAATAGCAGAGTATTCTAGGGTTTTGGCCTAAGAATTAACAGAAATATCAAAGCAAACCCTTCAATTAAGTTATGACCTACTAACATACAGTAAAAGTATTTTTTTTAGAAAACAGTGATTATGTTAAATTGCTTTGTTGAAATCATTTGATAAAAATTTTTTTACAAGTGTTGCAATTTAGAAGTCAAATTTATAACCCAAATTAAAAAAATATTTATAGTAAAATTATAACAAACTTTTATAGTAATATCTTTTGAGCTTCATTTTTTTAAAATTAGTTTATTTACAAAATTAAAATACACTGTTTTCCAGGACAGATTCTTCCAATTTCCTTTACCACCCCCAAATTGTACAAGCCCTCCTCCTGCACATACTCATCAATCTGCTTCCATACTCTCCCCCCTTTGGGTCCTTATCCTCATTCTACAATAATGGTTTTATATAATATTTGTCCTTGTGGGACTGAGTTAGCAATAAATGTTATTTTTTAAGTGATGTCAATTGGAATCTTTGTAGTGTGTATGTGTTAATATGTCTGTATTCTTTATTTGGCTATTTTGAATTATTTCAACTTCTGCTCTGAAAGTTTGAAAGAAATCCAAACAGAATTCCCTGAATTTGTGAAAGGAAATGACCTTCCATGAGGAAGAGTAAGTGTTGTTTCGTCTGCTTACCATTTTGATTACTATTGCTTATAGTGACATCTTCTTTCTCAGATTGGCTGTTACTACTATTTGAGGCAGTTGGAGGAGGGGATGGTGCTCGACTAGAAGCAGCACTTTCACTTTCATCTAGAAGACGATCCATGTAATCCCTTAAACATGAAGTAAAATAACAGAAAATTAATTTTCAAATACAAGAAGAAGCAAACGCAATTTAGACCAACACATACTTTATATTTGCTTACCAAATTACAGTATATTTATCACTTTTCTTCCTAGTCTTTATAAAGCTCTTACCTGTTCTGTACTTGAAAAAGGAAGAATCGTATGAAAATTTAAACATCACTGTAAAATACTATCTTCCAAATAGCTAAAAAAATGTACACTTTAAACAATACATTAATTTAGCACAATTGAATGCTGCCCAAGCCTTCTGGATGATTAGCCTGACTCCCATTTCTCTAAGCATTTTGAGTACCAACAGGATTTGAAGGAAAAAAAAAAAAAAAGATTTTATTTTCTATCTTCTGAGAAAATACAAGAAATATCAACACCAAAAGAAAAACTATGAGGGAGCTGTAAAAATACACAGTTAAGGTGCCCAATTAAGCACAGACTCGGCGTGCTTGTCCAGCAGGTTTGTTTTTGGCCCTCTGCACAGTAATGTTGTCTGTTAGGGCGCGTTCCCAGGGAAGCTTCCCACAGTCCCACCAAAACATGCAATAGCCAAGGATCTCCAGGTCATTCCGTCTGGACAGGGAGACTCCCTTGTGGGCATCCAGGCTAGTAAATTCCCTTGTCCCAATACGGCTCTTTTTAGGATATTCCCAATACTGTTTGTGGTTCCTGTTGGGACAATATCTATTCATAATCTGCAAAATAAACCTATCTGGACTTTTGTACCTAAAAGTAGATTTGCTGCTTTTTTATGACCATGAGCATATTCATTTTCATGTATGTATTCTACTACATCAAACATTCAGATACTTATGTGCAGGACCATCAGCTTCTTAAAGGTGCCATTCAAGTCTAAGATCTTCTGCAGATTTACTCCCAGTCTTTTCAATACCATAATTATGTAACTTCTTCCCTTGAACATGGTCAGACCAGATCCATGAAACAAAGGAATTTGTAAATAATCAAGCTGCTTGAGCATGATCCAATCCTTGATAATCTTGTTTTGCAGCTCTTGGGTAAAATCTGAGTTCTGAAAATAATGGGCCATTTTCCTGATATTCCACTTTGATTACACCTCAGCTGTCTTATTTGTTGAGAGCACTACATCAATCCAAATCCTACTACTACTGAGTTGTTTTATCAAATATGTGCATTAAAGTGTTTTATAAATCACAGTATTAGGTTACTATAAAATACGGTACAGTCAAAGGCCATCTGTTTATGTTAATACATTTTACTATACCATAGCCATATTCATCCAATTACTCACTGTCTCCACTAATAACAGCATAGCTTAGTAATTTCAACAGTTTATAGCCTGTTGTGTTGTAGAGTCAAACCTACCTACATATGACCCTAACGGAGTTTTCATAGGCAGTTAATTGCATGAGAAGAGACTGCCCATTCTGTTCCTGCAAGTTTATAGCCTGTTGTTGTTAAGTGCCGTAGAGTTGCAGGCTACCCTATGAAGGAGAATCCTTGACGCTTGGGTGCCTTTCTTCCTCTCCAGGTTCACAGGGTTTCCAGAGGCAAGCTATTACGGAAGTGGATGCCACTCTCCTTCCAAGACTGTTTTCATCAGGGAGCTCCAACCCACTCTCTGTCTGCATTGGGTAACCAGCCATTAACACATTTCACACATCAGTGTCACAGGGTTCAGCTTCATAGCAACCAGAAGTGACCACTGTATGGCAACTTCTACACCAGGGCTATTCGACCTAGAGGAATGTCTGAACAAAAACAATGAAAGACAAGCCCAAGGGCTGTGGATTAAAAGTCACCCACCTTTGGCTTGGTAGCATTGCTTTCTGTCCACTGGGCCACTGATCTCTCATTCTGATGTTATTGTTGTTAAGTGCCATCGAGTTGCAGGCGATCACAAGACTCTATGAAGGAGAGTCCTTGATGCTAGTTTATAGCCTTGTTGTTGCTATGTGCCGTCGAGTCACTTGCGACTCATAGCGACCCTATGTACAACAGCCCTAAACTCTGCCCTTTCCTGTGCCAATCGCACTGTCTCTGACACTTCCATCCCAATTACCCCAGTCACTGAATCAATCCACCTCACAGAGGGCCTTCCCCTCCTGAGCCGTCCCTCCACCCTCCCAAGCATGACGTCCTTCTCCAAGGACCGGTCTCTCCTCACAACATGTCCAAAGTATGTTAGACGGAGCCTCAGAATCCTTGCCTCCAAGGAGCCACCCGGTTTAACCCTTTCCAAGATAAATCTGTTTTCCTAGCAGTCCATGGTATTCTCAATACTCTTCTCCAGCACCACAGCTCAAAGGGATCAATTCTCCTTCTATCCTCCTTGGTCACTGTCCAACTCTCTGATACATAACAAGTGATAGCAGACCATGGCCTGTATCAGATGCACCTTAGTCTCCAGAGAGACACCATTGCTCTTCAGAACTTTGGAAAGGTCCCTAACAGCAGACTTTCCCATTGCAATACATCTTTTAATTTCCTGGCTACAGGTGCCGAGAGTGTTGACTATGGAGCCAAGCCAACTAAAGCTGTGAACAATCTCAATCTCTTCACCATCCATCCTGATGCTGCCAATTGGTCCAGTGGTGAGAATCTTTGTCTTCTTGACATTGAGCCTCAATCCATATTGGAGGCTGCAGTCCTTGACCCTCTGCAGCAGGTGCTTCAGGGCCTCTTCATTTTCAGCAAGCAGGGTTGTGTCATCTGCATAACGCATTTTATAGCCTACAAAGTTTAAATATCCATTTACTAACTCAGGATTGAAGGAAGTCTCATCAATGATCTGCATTAGATTATGCAGATGGCAAAACCTTGCTTGCTTGCTGAAACTGAGGAGGACCTGAGGTCTTTGCTGCAGAAGGTCAAGGGGATCTTCAATATGGATTAAAGGTCAACATCAAGAAAAACAAGATTCTCACAACAGGGCCAACTGACATTGAAATTGTCAACATTTCATCTTGCTTGGTTCTACAAACAACGGTTGTAGCACCAGCAGTTAGGAAATCAAAAGAAGAATTGCACTGGGAAAATCTGTGGTCAGGGATCTATTCAGAGTACTGAAGAGTAATGTCAGTCTGGAGAATACCGTATGTCTGATTCAGTCCAGGGTCTTTTGCAATTACTTGTTATGCATCGGAGAGCTGGGCAGTGACTAAGGATGATAGAAGAATCAATGCCTTTGAGTTGTGGTGCTAGAGAGGAGTTCTGGAGATGGTGAAACCAAGTTGCTCCTTAGAAGTAAGGATTTTATGCTTAGAAGAGTGGAGGGACAGCACAGAAAAAGACAACTCTGAGTGAGATGGACTGACTCAATGACTAGGGTTAACAGAGATCGATGCTGTAGGCAACTCGACAGTCATACTAGCAACAACAAATTTATTTTAGTTTCAGAAAAACTAGAATAAAGAAGTCTGGTGATACAGTGATTTAACAGTTTGAACCTATGAGAGAAAGATATCGTGGCCTTCGTTTGCAAACATTAAAATATTGAGATCCTTTTAGGGCAGTTCTATTTTATGCCATAGAGCTGCTATGAGTTCGGATTCAATGACCAAAGGAAAGCAATCCCCCGGCTACAGAGAGTATATTATAAGGACAGTTATAAGACCAAAAGAAAATTCCAATATTCGCTGAGGTACACAAAATTACGTAATATCAAAGAAAAAATACATAAAAAATTGAGTAGCACATACTAAGCATATAAAAATAGCACGGTCAATGCCAAAGCGATTGCATGAGCTAAGATTAAAAGGGACAAAGATACAGAATGAGAAATCTGGGGAAATAAAAGTTGGTTTGGTTAAACTGGATAATGGAGGGTTCTGGAAGCCAAGTTAAGAAAGCTTAGATGAATACACACATAAGAGTAACAGTATTACGAAAGAATATTATTAAAAAATATTAATGGCACCCAAAATGCTTAAAGGAGGAGAATGGAGAATCAGGCTGGGGGCAGCATTCAGTTGTGCTAAATTCTTTTTAAGTGTTTATATTATTTTTTTGAGAAGGCAAAAATAAACTTTACATTATTTTTTGGAAGGTAATGTTTCACAGTGAATGCTCAAATTTTCTTATGACTCTCAATTTTTCAAAGTAGGGAAAAAGATCTTTTTAAAGACTCAAGAAAAAGGATAGATGGGTTTCATCCTGTAAACAAATAAAAAGAATAGGGAAAAATGCACTCTAAAAGTATTGAATTTGATCTAAAAAAGAGGGTAACAAAGTCCATTCATATTTTTCTCTAAAGGGACTAATTTAATGGCCTATGCAGTCTCTTAAAGTGCAACCATTAACAGAGAAGCCCGTAGAAGTAAAAAAAAAAAAAACCAAAAACCCCAAAAAACCACACCAAACCAAACCAAACCAAACCAAACCATCATGCTTATAGAAAACTATGGTTCTTCATCTACGGAGGGAAAAATTTCTCTCACTGCTATTTCTGCTTTTAGAGAAGACATAAGATAGCTAAAGATGAGTTAAAAATTATGACATTTCAGTTTATTTAAAAACTTTGTAATGAGGTGAAAATTTGCTCACCTCATATTCTACACTAAGAGGAGACTGCTGTAAACTCTTAAAAAAAAAAGACAGATTACTTGTAGCTTAACTGTGGCTACTCCACTTTTAGAATGCTTAACCTTAAGAGGAAATGAGGTATAGGTATGTCTTCAAAAAGTATTCACAAGTATTGAGAAATTATCAGAGAAAATGAAAATGTATGACTGCGTATCCCTACTTAATCTGTTCCTCGTAGAATCAGAGAGGACCAATTAAGCCAGCTTATAAAACTATCCTTGGAGATGCTTTCTTAAAAAAACCAAAACAAAACTGGATGAACCATGATGGGTCTGACCCAGTATGGTAATTCTTATGTTCTTACTGTTGTTAATGACTGATGGACTGCAATTCATGAGAGAACCTCACTTCTGAAATGAGTGTAAAAAAAACCAAAAGATGTTACTACTGCTTTTCCTTATAAAATGGCTCG